GGACCTCTGCAAAGGGGAGCCTCTCTTCTTAGCAGCCAGGCTGCCAATATTGAGCATGGGCCACTGCCCCAAACTCCGGGCTGTGGGCATTGGTGGGACCAACCACCAGCATGGTGGTGTGGGCTGGCCTGGACATGCCCAGGTGGTGATCCTCTTCAGCTGGAGCAGGGACTTGGGAAAGTAGGTCTCTCACATGGGTGCAGGGTCCCCTGGACCTGGACCATCCTCCGCTGCTTTCCCAGATCAGTAGGGACCTGGATGGGAAGTGGAGTAGCTGGAACACGAACTGGCATCCATATGGGATGCTGGCACATTGCAGGTGGAGGATTAGCCTATTGGGTCACTGCATTGGCCGTATGATTAAGATTTTTGAGACTCTTCTAAGTTTCTTTTACTGTTAGCAATTGTGGAGGCTTACTGTTTATGTCCTTCGCATGTGTCTTACGGTCAGGCTCGTTCTCCATGATTGGTACGATATGATCTGCTGCAGTTTGCTTTACAATCTTTGATTCTTTTATTCAGCAAAAGCTGATGGAGTATTTCCAGGTCTGCTTTAGGGAAGGAAATGGACAAAGCTCTCTGCCCTGGAGCATCAGTGCTTGGGGAAGACGTAACTGTGCAGGCCTGCACCTATTGACCCCGGTGTCTGAAAAGTGGCCCTGATGAACACTCATGTCCTGTGTTAGAGTCCTGGCCCCGCTCTTGATTCTGCTTCCTGCTATGACACATCCTGGGAGGCAGTGGGGCCTCACTCCAGGAGCTGTGTTTCTGGCACTCACTTGGGAGCCCTGGATGGAGTGCCCAGTACCGGCTGGGCTTCAGCCTGGCTCAGTCCCAGCTGCTGCAGGAACCTTGGGGGCAAGGGGAGGGGGAATAGATATTCCCAGATAGGATTAGCTAAGCTTCCCTGGAACTCCCGAAGTTGGCTTCAGCAGCTACTTATGCATTCAACAAACAGACAAACAAAACAAGGTTTTCAGTTTGGATAATAATTTTGACAGGTGTGTGGAGCCAAAATCCTTGAGGTGGGACTGGGATGTGTGGAACCCTGGGCTTGACTGCTGCTCCTCATGGTCCCAGAATCCCAGCATCCAGAGCTCGTCTCCCAGGCAGGTCAGCGCTGCTGGGGGTCTTCTTGCCTTAGCTATGTGAATGCCTCGCAAAGTGATTCCTGTCACCTCCGGCTTCCTGTTTCAGTTTGCACAAACAGCCATGCATTCTCCCGGCTGCCAGCCCCGTGTGTGCACACAGTCCCCCTTGCCTGTCGTCCCGTGGTTCTGCTTCCTGTGGTCAACCATAGTGTGAAAATAGTATGTGGGAAGTTCCAGAAATAAACAGCACAGGCTTGAAACAGTTTGTGGCTCTGTGGTTTTCTGTTATTAGTAGCATCTTCGCTGCTCCTCTCCTTGTTGTGGGAGTTGAGTTCTATTTCAGCACAGGTCTGCACATAGGGGCAGAGAAAATGTGGACAGGGCTCGCTGTTCCCGCTGTTTCAGGCGTCCGAGAGCCTGTGGTGGGGGCGAGGTCTTTTCCCTGCTTCCTTTCACTGATTTGCATCGACCCCCACATCAGCCCCTACACTCAACACGGTAAATCTCTGGAAGCAAAAGAGGGCTGAGGAGGACATAGGTGCCACAGCCACCTCCTGACACATGTCCCGCCATGCTGGGGTTCAAACTGCCTGCACCCCCAGGGTGTGAGGTGGGACAAGCCTGGCGTTCCAGCTGCATGTCTGCAGGTTAGCCAGTGGCCCTGTCGGTTCCCCTGAGTCTGGCTGGCTTGGTTCTCAGTGTGGGATTAGTTGAGATCTGGACTGCCTCCTGAGCTCCCACGGGAAGCACAGCTCTGGTATAGCAGGAGCACAGGAAGCAGAGTGGCACCCGCAAACTTGGTGGAGGCATCACTCCAATAATCTTTCTGGCCAAGTGCATCCCATAGCATGGCCCCTTGGGGCCTGCAGGTGCCTCCGTCTGCACTGGGGGTCCAAGGGAGCAGAGTGGGCAGCCAGAGGCATTGTGGGAAAATCTTGTTTAATAGGAGAGGACCTGGAGCTTCACTCCTGTCACAAGGCAGGGCAGGGTTGGGTGGAGGGGCAGCTGTCGGCCAAACAGGGCTGCTCAGAGGAGGTGTCGTCTAATCTAGGCCTGGGGGATGGGACGGATGCAGTGTGTGTGCATGTGTGGCACACATGTGCTTATGTATGTACGTGTGTACATGTACTCATGTGTGAATGTGGATGTGTAGATAACTGTGTGTATGTGTGTACATGTGCCCTGTGTATTTACATGTGTTTGTATAGGCATGCCAGTATGTATGCTTGTGTATATTTGTGTATGTGTTTCCATGTGTTTGTGTGTGTGTGTGGAAAGGGCCCACTAGAGTAGGGGGGTGCATCTACCATGGAACAATCTCTTTGAACACAGTCATCTCTGGACTTCTAATCACATCCCGGTCATTTTCTTCATTTTCAAATTCTGAAACTCACGCTGTGCATGCCCAAATTCAAGTCGAAGATGCTGCTTTCAGCAAGCACTCATGCTGGAGGGCACAAGGCTTGCACTCGATGTCCGAGTTTCACTCCAAGCCAGCACCTGCCTCCAGCTCAGCCCTCCAGGAAAGGTCTTGTCCATTGAGGCCAGATCCAGGCTGGAGAGCGGGAACATTGGGAACCTCGACCGGCAGAGAGCAGAGGGTCCCCACATACGGACCAAACACACCAAACAATCATGGGAACGAGGGTTCCGGACAGGGTGTGGCCAGGATAGCCCTTCACAATGTAAAATAGGAACGCACCAGGATCTGGGGCAGGCTGGGTGAGCTCATTTCCCACGCCGGTGGCAGGCTGTGAGGAGACGCCCCCTGCAGGTGGAGCGAGGAATCCCTTAGAGAAATGACAGAAGGCGTGGAGGATCCGCGTCCGCGGATAGGCATGCTCTCTGCTTGGTGTGCTGGATTTAAACCCTGTTTCTAAAACAGCACGTACTGTCCCCCTCAACCCAAGGATGGAGCTGTCTCCGCAGATGCCCAGGGGTCTTGGGGCTCTGGGCCAGTCCCAGTGCTGCTTTGGGGTCCCTTATGTCTGCAGTTTCTCTACAATGAGGACACATCGTTATTACTGAACCCCAAATTCCCATGAGAGCAGAGAATGGGATGGGATGGGGTCTTGGACCCTGGGATCACCTCTGGGTGGGGGGCTGCTCAGAGCCTCCTCTGCAGGCCAGGCAGTCCAGGCCCTCAGGGTGACGTAGGAATGGTACCCCAGCCCATCTGTCCACCCTCATCTCACCTGTCAGGGCTGCCTGGCAGTGTGAGGGGTCTGGTGGTCCGTGAGGGGCTGCGTGGACACTTCCCCTGCTCCCCCCCTGCTGACAGAATTCTTCAGAACCCACCCAGCAGCCCACCCGGCCTCTGGGCTGTGCAGGACAAGGTCCTACTGAGCCACAGGCAGGCAACTTTGGGCTCTCAGTGCCATCTAGTGCCCACAGGGGGCACAGCTACACACAGCTGGCTTGTGCGGTGCTTGAGAAAGTCACAGGAGCCCCAGAAGGATCTAGAACCTTTCTCCTGGGGCAGTGATGTGGTGTCTCAAAATCAGGTGTTGTGCCGACTCAGTGCTTGTAAAGTCTTTTAAAACATGTCTTGTAGGTGGCCTGGGTGCCAGCTTGGTGGCCTAGTGGCTGCTAAAGTCCTTGCCTGGAACGTGCCGGGATCCCATATGGGCCACCGGTTCTAATCCCAGCAGCCCACTTCCCATCTAGCTCCTTGCTGGTGGCCTGGGAAAGCAGTCAAGGACTGCCCAAAGCCTTGGGACCCCACACCGGCATGGGAGACCTGGAGACAGTTCCTGGCTTCTGGCTTCAGATTGGTACTGCACTGGCTGTTGCGGTCACTTGGGGAGTGAATCATCGGACAAAAGATTCTCCTCTGTCTCTCCTCCTTCTCTGTATATCTGATTTTACAAAAAAAAAAAAATCTAAAAAAAAATGTCTTGTAGAGACATGCGTTGACATTTAATGCACGGAGGGTGCCGCAGAGCAGAGAGCAAGAGACCTTCAGGTTCTGCTAAGGGCTGGGGATCCAAGGGCTGTAGAGTGGGGGAGGGGCACTGTAGCATCAGCCAAGAGGTGTCAGCCTGGCTGGGGACCCAGAGTGGATGGAGAGCCAGCAGGGGGAGGTGGGAGAATGGCTACACCTGAGCATGCCTGAGGCTGTATCCAGGACCAGGGCAGGAGGAGTATTCCCAGGCGGTGAAGAGGGACCGACTGCTCCCTCCTGGCATCCAGGGACACTTAGAAGGAGAAGTGCCCCTGCCTTAAGAGCTCAGAATCCAAAGACAAGGTGCAGACAGACAGGTCAGCAGGGTAGGGTATAGACAGACGGATGGGTCAGCAGGGTAGGGTATAGACAGAGGTGAGTAGATCCGCAGGCCTGGATGTTGGAAGCACCCACACCTGCAGGTGCTGGCTTAAGTACTGCTTCCCCGCAGACAGGGCTCAGGTGCTCACAGAGTCAGCACCACGGAAGTGACTCCAGGGCTGGTGGCTCCAAGGCAGGACAGTGGAGGGGCAGGTGCCCTTGCAAGAAGGGAGAGCCGCAAGCTGAGGCCAGTCATGTGCTTGGGGTGGGGAGATTGAGAGATGAGGGTAGGAAGGTGGACCAGGCAGGTGGTGGGCAGGCAGGGCATGAAGGATAAGGGGGCATGGGTGCCAGGCGTCGGCTCCTGGGGGATGAGCTGAGGCCTGAAGAGTGGAGCCTGGTGGCAGGGTGCCCGTGGCTGCTGCTAAGAAGGGTGAGGTGGGGGTCATCTCTGAGACAGGACCGGGGTGGGCAGGGATGTCAAGAGGTCTTGGACTCAGAGGGGTGCTGACCACAGCAGGCACATGGCAGGGCCAGCCCCAGAGGTCTGCTGCTGGGCTGGGGACCACAACTGCAGTGGGGGTGCTCCCTTCCCCTGCTCACATCGCCCAGGCTGAGGAAGACACCCAGTGCATACGACCTTCTGGTGCTGCCTTTAATTACGAAAGATGTAAAATGACGCGTTACAAAACCTGGAAGCTACTTTATACAAAGTCCAATCTTTAAATATTGCTCCATGGGCCCGGGAGTTAGGGCACTGGCGGGGGTCTGGTGGGGGTGCCCACAGATGGGAGGCCCAGCACCCTGGTCCTGGGCTGTGGCCCCACGCTGTGTAGCTGCCGGGTATATGAGTACAGTGACAAGTCAGCTGGCATGGGCAGGAGGGCTGCAGGTGCCCAGGACGGAGCAGACCTGGGCAGAATCAGTATATGCTGGCAGTGGAGCCCCTTGTTGTGTGGGCAGGTGCAGGGGTCCCCACAGGTAAGGCACTAGGCAAAGGCTGCCACGGCAGGACAAGAACACTGCCGCTGGATCCTGAGAAGCCAAGCAGGGACTGGGGACCTCTGACCGGGGTAGGGGGAGACAGAGAGAAGGGGCTGACTCCCTCACAATCCTTGTCACCTAGTCAGCCTTTTGGGACCTCCACAAGGATTGGGAGGCAGGGGGCCTAACGCAGGTGGGGGTCTTCTCCAAAGTCTGGCTGTGAGGGTGCTGGGCTGGCTGCGGAGAGTTGGAGAAACCCTGGTATTGGAGTTTGGGAGAGGGCGGAGGTGCCTGTCAGCCTCACCGGAAATCAGGGTGCAGTTCTGAGGGCAGCAGCTGGGCAACCCTTGGTGACCACCTCGGAGCCCCTGGCAGGCCAGTGGCTGTTCCCGCGAAGCTTTCAGCACCTTCCTTGCCTTCTGAAGGGTTCTCTCCATCCCCAGCTACCTGATCTTTGCCCAGACCCTGGCCTCATGGGCCTGGCAGGCTTTGTCCCCTTCACGCTTCCTGTTCGAGGGCCAATCTTAGGGTTCATGGGGGTCCCAGCAATCAGGCCTTTGTGTTTGTGCAAAGCTAGTCTCCAGAGAAACCTGAGTGGGAAGGGTTGCAGGTAGGCCTGGGGAGGGGCGACAGGGCTGGGGCACAGACGCAATCCCCTGGTGTTAGAAGGGCAGTAAGAGGCAGCTGAGGCTCTGAGAAGACCCAGCATGGGACAGGCCAGCTCCCAGTGAGTCTGTCGCCAAGCGCCGGCCTGGTAGGCAGCTGGGGTCCCCAAGTGGGGCTGTGGGCCTGTAGGACACGCTGGGGGTGGGGGAGCTGTGAATGTACAGTTGGCACAAGGGAGGCTGTGGGCTGCTGGGAGTGAGCATGGGGCACCCAGGGCCTTTCTTGCTGACTGAGAAGAACTGTTTTTTCCCCCCTGGGACCAGGGAGAGGTGGGCTAAGCAGCAGAAAAGGGGCTGGGAGCCAGGGGCTGGGAACTGAGTCCCTGTGCCAGGGCTGAGCTTTCCCCAGCAAGCACGGAGCCCCATTACCAGTTGAGCCCTGCAAAGCCTCCAACTGTGAAGGTCGATCATTCAATTGGGAGGCACGGGCTCAGGCTAGAGCCTGGGGCTTCCCACTGAGCCTGTGCCATGGGCAGCAGCCCCCGCCTGCCCCCTACCCTGGGCCCTTCCTCCATGCTGATAGAGATGGCAGGCTCTGAGCATGACCCAGACTCCTGGGCTCTGTACTGGACGGCGAGAAGAGACGGGAGGTCACAGAGATGAAGGCACAGTGTGCGCCGCTGCAGCCTACGACAGGGCCTGGGATGCAGCCCATCTGGAAGCAGGGAGCTACAGGCCGAGGGGCCGCAGTCCCGTTGCTGGCAGGCTCCCAGCCCTGGCAGGCAGGCAGGCAGACGGGTAGGTGGGTGGCTCACAGGCGGTCAGTCCGAAAGGTTTCCTCCACGGCGGGGTCCAGCAGGCCCATGCTGGAGTCACTCAGCATGCTGAGTCCGTCCAGGCTCAGGGGCTCAATCTGCAGCTCCTCCTCCAAGGGAAAGGGTGCGTCCACATTCAGGTTGACCTCGGGCATCCCGGTCAGGGTGCTGCCAAGCTCTTTGAACAGGCTGGAGCCCGAGTCTTCTGGAAGGGGTGATGAGAGGGCAGATGAGGTGGCTCGAGGACCTAGAGACCCCCAGGGCCCAGTCCCCCAGCCTCGTGGACCAGGATCCAGCTCTGCAGGGCGTGTCCCTCTGAAGGGCTGCCAATCACCTATGATTGACTATCCTGGCAGCAGCTGCACCACTCCCTGGGGCGGGCAGCTGCCTCTCTAACAGGAGCCGTACAGAGGCCACATGGGATAAGCTCTCACAGGGGTATCTGTGGGTCAGGGTGGGGACATGCAGGGAGTAGTGGGGCGTGACCCACACTCACCACTCACCCGTCAGCAGGGTGGGCGGGAAGCTCCCGCAGCTGGAGTACAAGGCTGACCTCAGCTGGAACGTGTCCTGCGGTTCTCCTCGGGGACCTTGTTGCACCAGGGGCACCTGGGGACATGGAGGGCAGGCACCTGTTGAGTACTGAATCCCACCTGCCTGCAGCCCTAGGGGCCATTGTGGGAATACAGGCAGGTGGACACTGAGTGTGGGTGGAGCAGCTCCATGGGGTGGGGAAGAGGGGCCCCGTCCCTGTCCAAGGCCCCCCACCCATGCTCCTGGGCGTCACTACCTGGTTGCTGTGGCAGGTGGGGGCACTGCATTTGAGGATCAGGGAGAACTCAAGGTTGTTGGAGCCCCAGAACACACAGCAGGGTCATGGGGTGCCCAGGATACTGTACTCAAGTTCTACCCACAGTGCAGTATGTGTGCTGAGGTGGGTAGGAGGGGTGTCAGAACAAGCACCTGCTGAGCGAAGGCTGTGGCTGGCCTAAGGGAGTGTTGGTCGAAGCCCACGTCAGGGAAGAAGCTGGTTAAAGATGAGCCCTTTGGGGGACAGGAAACAGAGGTGTTAGCTTGGACCTCAGCATATGCCAAACCCACTCACTCCTTGCTGACGCCCCATGCTGGGACCCACCTGGGGTTGGAGAAGCTGGAAGTCTGACGATGCTGCCTGGGGCTGCTGAACAGGGGGCTCCTGGGTAGGGGGTTGCTGCAGGACAGGTTGGGGCAGCTCATGGGCTGTGGGGTAAGGGGGTGGCGGGGACACTTGGGCTGGCGCTTCTGTGGGCAGGAAGGCAAGTGGGCCTCGATCGGGAGACAACATCTGTGGGCAAACACACATACACATGTGGCACAGTCAGGTCTGAGTCCTTTCAGGACAGGAAGCAGCAAGATGGGTGAAACCAGACCTCCTCCTCATCATGGTGAAGATGCTCCACTTCCCATCCAGCACCCTGCTTGTGGCCTGGGAAAGCAGTTGAGGGCAGTCCAAGGCCTTGGGTCTCTGCACCCACATGGGAGACCTAGAGGAAGTTGCTAGCTCCTGGCTTTAGACCATCCCAGCTCTAACTGTTGTGGCCGCCTTGGGAGTGAATCAGCTGATGGAAGATATTGCTCTCTGTCCCTTCCTCACTCTTGAAATAAATAAAATGAATCTTAAGAAATGAAAACATGTAGGTGTAGGTGTGTGTGTGTGTGTGTAAGAGAGAGAGAAAGAGAGAGAGAGAGAGAGAGAGAGAGAGAGAGAGAGAGAGGTGGGGGTTGTGGGAAAGTTGCAGGGTATCAGGACCCATGACCAGATGATGGCTGACCAACAATCTAGAGCAGATATTTAACTAGTACGGTCATCCCAAGGAGATCAGCTAGAAAGGCTCCAAGCGGCCCCTCAGGGTAGTGGGAAGAGAAATAGAGCCGAGAGAAGGCAGCTGCTGTTTCAGAATAAGCCCTTCAGGAAGACGGAACACATATGCAGGAAGAGCAGTGATTGTTTTCAACCTCTTAAGGCGCCTTCACATACAGTGAGTAGGGAAGAGCTCCTGGGCCTCGACATCCCAATCACACAAGCAGAAATGAAGGCAGCACGGTGACCAAGGCCAGGGGGAAGTTATGAGCTACACGGCCAGCCGCTCCCAGAGGGGACAGGTGATTGACAGAGTCCTCTCTGGCTTCTCACAGGCTTCCATTAACTCCTCTGCTCCACCTCACTGCTCATTTGGAGGAGTGGTTAATGATGTTACACTGTACCCAGGGAGGGACCAGCAGGTTAAAAATGTACAAAACAAAGTGCATCAGAATATAATGTGTTCACTCTGGATCTCTGAAAGCAGCCATGCTAAGTAGGCTTGTCTGACCCCTGTACACATACACTCCTCACACCTCCTGCCTTGGGGACAGGCAGAACATGGTCTTGGCCCTTCTACCATCACAGGGAGGCCCTGGGCTCCCTGTGGAATAGGGGTGGAATATCCTGTGGGCTCCTAGACCTTACTATTTACAGAGCCTCTGCTTTTCCAAGCCTTCCCTGACTTGTTGCCTAGTCTGCACGAACCTGAGTTGCACAGTCTGCAGGCTGCCCTTGCTCCCAAATCCAGACTTGCAAGTCCATGCACACTGCCATGAATACACAGCCTTGCACTGTGTAGAAGTTACTGCAGCCCTCTACCCAGCCCAGTCCTCTTCTCCCTTGGGTTTGGTGTTAAGGGAACGGACTGTGCACGAGCACACAGAGTGAAGCCACAACGGCCTGGGGTCTCACTATAAGTGGCTGGGGCGGGGTGTACCTGAGAGGCAGGGTAGGGGTTCAGTGGGCTGCTGGAAGAGAGCTGTCTGCCGAAGCTGGGATGTGCTTCTGGGCCTGGAGAGAGTGTGAGGGGGCTGACAGGTGGCTGCCGGCGCCGGGAGGGGCCACTCAGGTTTGTAGTGGGCAAAGATGGGTTGCTGAGGGAGAAAAGCCGGAGTGAAGGGTGGAGGGTGGAAGTGTTGGTGGCTGAGGGCTGCGGATGGCTGTTGAGGGGCGAGGCCAGTGCCATCTTGTTGAGCGTTGTCTGGATGGAGGGGTTACTCCGGGAACTCTGGAGCCCTGCAAGACAGGAAGCACATTCCGAATGTTAGCTGGGAATGCTAAGCCCCATCTCCTGGGCCTCAAGATGACAAAGGACTCCCTCCTGCCTCTGGCTCACTACTTTAAAGACCCAAGGTGTACACAAAGTGACAGGAGGGGACATCCTTTCACATCCCCCTATCTGCTAGCTCAGGGTCCCTTTCTTGTTCACCTAACTGGGGGCCTCCAGCAGGGGGTACTTACCAGATGAGCTTCGTATCCCCAGGTGGGTCATTGCAGCGGGCAGATTGCCCACACTGTTGCCCATGCTGGTGCTGCCCAACAGATGGTCGCTGGCATCCAGGGAGGCTGGCAGGGGCGCCGTGTAGTGCAAGTTGGTGAGATCCGGGAGGGAGCCGCCTGTGTTCAGAGTCCCCAGGAAGGGCGAGAGCCCCATGTTCTGACCGTTATGTGGAAAAGCACTGCAAGGAGACAGGCGAGCATCCCGTTCCAAGGTGCACCTGGCAGCTGGGAACAGGCCCCGCAAAGCACCTCGCCCTGACCCCCATGCTCAGAGCTCTGGTGTGACATCTCCTTTCCTTTCACATTACGTGGGTGAGGCCACCTGTGCCCAGCCAGGTTAGGAGAAGGCCAGATTAGGGGAGGGATGCCAGAGCACTTTGAAAATTACAAATTATAAGATGCAAGCCACCGTTTTATGCTCATGAGGGTTCTCTGGGCCCCGATTTTCCTACCAAGAATAAATTTCTCTCTGGGGGAATAGATGTTCTTCAATTTCAGGATACATTACTATTATTACTATTTTCAATGAGTGTACCTACACATAAGGGACAGTGCAGGCCTGTGTCACCCCCAGCCATCCCTGAGACCCTGAGAGAGTGCACAGGTGGCAGCTCCTCTGACCCTCATATCCCATGGCAGCTGGAAAGGGCAGAACCCAGGGAGTGGAGCTCACTGCAAGGCAGGTGTGATATTCGGGGTGAGCCTACAGATGCAACCCAGCTGGAAGCCCTCCATGTCAAGGCCGGGAAGAGCTGGGTACAGCCAGCAGGTACAAGTGGCCCTGGGGGCCCCATAGCCCAAATTGTCCACATCAGGGTGGGCTGCGGAGGGAAGGCTTGGTCGAGTATCCAGCACAGTAAGGAGGCTGGCACCAGTGTCAGGGCTAGGAACAAGGGAAGTGAGGGGCACAGGGGTGAGACAGGGAGACAGGGGAGGGAAGGAACACAGGGAGGAGGCCGCTACTGTGCAGGGCAAGCTGGAGGGCTGGAGGATGGCTCTTAGCAATGCCGCTGTGGTCAGGGTGGAGGGCAGCCCAGGCAGCAGTGTCTCCTGCGGTCCCCAGGCCTGTGCTGGGCCAAGTGCAGAGTGACTGTAGAAGAGAATGACTGAGAAGGCTCGTTGGCTTGAGACGTGGGAGCTGATGAATGAACGAGACTGAGGACAGCTTCCCCAATTTGGCACATGCTGCAGGTGCTAGCCACTGGCTTCCAGAGGCTTGACAGAAGGGCCGGCCCCATGGGATAACAAGCTAATCCTCTGCTTGTAGTGCCAGCATTCTATATGGGCACTTGTTCAAATCCTGGCTCCTTCATTTATGATCCAGCTCCCTGCTTGTGGCTTGGGAAAGCAGTAGAGGATGGCCCAAAACCTTGGCACCCTGTACTCTCTTGGGAGACAAAGTAGAAGCTCCTGGCTCTTGGTTTAAGATTAGTTCAGCTCTAGTTGTTGCAGCTACTTGGGGAATGAACCAGTGGGTGAAATATCTTTTGTCTCTCCTCTGTATGCATTTTTCCAATGAAAGCTTATTATTTATTTAATACACAGGCTTAGTGGAGCTGCAACAGAGCCATGACTGAGCTACAAGAAGGTAACTCATGGTGCAGTGCCACCAAGCAGGCCCTGGACAAAAGCTGGATGTGTCCAGCATGAAGGGACTGACCAGTGGGCTTTCCTGGGGGATGTCCTCGCCAAGCTGAAGGCAGAACTCAGGTGACCTGGGCAGGCAAGCTCACTGTGGGCAGAGTTCATGGCAGGGCAGGAGCAGCCAAGTGTGAAGCCACACCACACCCTGGGAACCATGAGGCCCTGACAGGGGCAAGCTTAGGAGGAGAGGGTGAAGGAGAGAGGTGGGGCTGTAGAGACACATTGAGAACATGGGGGAAGGCAGGTAGCAGCGAAGGACAGCTCTGTCCTTCTCAGAAAGGGGAGGATGTCTGGAGGCAGAGCAATGAGCTATGCTGCTGTTGGATGCACAGCCAGGCCCAAGGGGATGGAACCTAGGAGGACACCTGGGGTTTGGCATGGAGACTGGCGGGGCCACTACAAGACAACGACCCAGGAGGGAAATGAGCAGATTAGGGGGCAGGCCAGGGGAGGGCCAAGATGGTGAACTCCACTCTAGACCCCTGGGATCTCTGTCACATGGGTTGACATGCGGCAGGAATGTCACCCATCCAATGGGGTCCTGGAGGTTGTCAGTGATGTTCCAGACAGTTCCACGGGCCTGGTAGAGGTAGAGACCAGGCCAAGATGTAGACAAGGGGTGGGAAGGCCTTAAGAGGAAATGTTCTTCCTGCAGGTGCGGCTGAGGGCAGTGTTCAGTGCGGCAGTTGAGACTGCTCGAGTTGTCTGAATCTGATATCACAGTTTCTGGGTTTGAGTCTCAGCAAGGCTTCTAGTCTGTCTCCCTGTCCATGAAGACCTGTTGAGGTAGCAGCTGATGGCCAAGGAACTGGGGCTCCAGTCGTCCTCATAGGAGACCTGGGTAGGGGTCCTGCCTATCAGTTTCAGCTCCCTTGGCATTTGTCTGTCTCTGTCTCCCTGCTTTTCAAATAAGGCCAGAAGTCATTTTGGAAACAGCCGTGGCTAAGGATTCCAAAGCCGCAAAGAAGGCCATGGGTAGAGGCGGCAGACCCCAGACAGGGCAGGGACTGGGGGAGCATCCCCACCTGCAATGGGAGATGGAGGTCCAGGATAGTTCGTTCTTGATGGGAAAATCAGGATGTGGATGGGGTGAACTGTGGAAGCAAGCTGACTGTCACAGAAAAAGTGGATGTGAGCTTTATCTTTCAGATGCCATATTTATGGATTAGGCTTACTAAAATGAAACGTCAAATTAGGAAAAGAAGTTGAGACCTCAGAGCTGCCCACTCTGAGATCAGTTGGGTTCTGTGCTAGGGACACGGGTCAGTAGGGCTGATATCGGGGGATTGAAGGTGTGGAAAGGAGGGTGAAGGAGCACTGTGCAGTGGAAAGAAAACGCCTGCCCAACGAAAGCCTGCTTGCTCACCAGCAAGCATGCCTGACGAGGTCCTGGACCAGCCACCGTCACCCTCTGCTGACATGAGCACTGAATCTCCTCTGAGGCAGGGAATGTTCCCCCCAGGGTAGTTGGTGGCCAGGAGTAGCTGCCCTGTCCAACCTCTGCATCTGACTCGGTGCCCAGGGCATCCTCTCCTCCTGTGGAATTACTGCCTGGCCTTCCTTAGCCTCCATTTTTGTGCAAGATGTGTTCTCATTTTTCAAATGTCTCAGGGACTGAAGCTGGATACTACCATTAACTGCATTAATTAATGAATGTTTTCCTAGAAACTATGCTGCCCATTTCCTTATTTCCTCATCTTCCATTTCTAAGTGACGGTGTACAACACACATACCCTAGCGTTCACCATGCTGACCACGCTTAAGTGCACAGTTGAGTGTTGCTCTCTGATGTCACTTCCATGTGCCTGGCCGCTAGGCAGTAGCTTTGTGACTGCAGTAGTTTTGTGATTTTAAACTGAGGAAACTCAAGGGCCAATCTGGTGTTCCACATGGAAATGCGGTGCCTTGGGTTTCTGCAGAGCTGTGCGGTGACATGAAGCCTTCAGAACTCCCCCGCCCCCACAACACAGCCAGACGCAGCATCACTTACTTGCCGCCTCCCACGTCGCAGGACCGAGGCCGCCCTGACAGCGACTGAATCTGCGAAGAGAGAAGAGAGCCGGCCTCACTCACTGGGAAGGTGGAAAGTCCCAGTAGCGCCAGCCCGTGCCACAGAGTGGCTGAACACTTCCTGGGTGTCAGGGAGGCCTCACGGCAATCAGCTCTCTTATTTTGATATTTCATTCATGCGTCTTTTAGGTGGTATGTATTATTTCCTTCCACAAGGCCAATGTTTTACACATGGAACTATTTTAAAGTACTACTGTACTTTAAAAAGCTCATGGAAAAATGGAATTAAGCAGTAAGTTTATTGGGAGTGGTGCTATGGTCAGGCTGCCACTTGTGGCTCTGACATTCCTTAAGGCTTCAAATCCTGGCTGCTATTCTTCTGATCCATCTACCTGCTAATGGGTTGGGAAGACAGTGGAGAATGCCCCAAGTCCTTGGACCCTGCACCCACACAGAAGCTCCAGAGGAAGCTCCTGTCTTCTGGTTTTGGATCAGCCAAATCCAGTCATTATGACCACCTGGGGAGTGAATCAGCATTTGGAAGATCTTTCTCTGTGTCTACCCCTCTCTCTGTGTAACTGCTTGTCTGTCTTTCTTTGTGCGTTCCTTCCTTCCAATTTATTTTTATTGAAAAGGCAGATTTACAGAGAGGACAAAGCTCTTCCACCAACTGGTTCACTCCCCAAGTGGTCACAATGGTGAAATCTAAGCTGATCTGAAGCCAGGAGCTTCTTCTGGGTCTCCCACATGGGTGCAGAATCCCAAGGCTTTAGGCCATCCTACATGGGTTTCCCAGGCCACAAGCAGAGAGCTGGATGGTAAGTGGAGCAGCCAGGACATGAACTGATACCTATATGATATCTCCATGTATGCAAGGTGAGGACCATTGTGGGCCCAAACTATGTCTTTCAAATAAATATCTACTTTTAAAAAGCTAAGCTTAATTTAGCGCAAAACACAAACCAAAAACTCACAATCTTCTAAATAGGGTCTGTGTTAACAGGAAGCTGGAGTTGGGAGTGGAGCCCAAGCATTCATGTGGGACACGGGTGGCCCAGGGGCCTTGTGCACCTGTCTGAGGGGAAGGGAAGGAGATGGGAAACAAAACAGGAGGAGTCAACCAGGAGCGAATGCCAGAAGGCAGCAAGTACTTCTGTGCGAGGACAGGCACCAGGAAGGTTGGATTGTGCTGCACAAGCCACCTCATCCTGGGGAGGTTAGCACCCGTCGGGCATCAGCCTCTTGGCTGGACAAGTCAGAGTTGCCTTTGATAGAAGGCCCCTGTGTCTCTCACAGTGCGGTGGGTCCTCTCGTGTTGCCATCCCCCCTTCACCTCCCATCAAAAGCTTAAACACTGTGTACCTCTTGTCTAAAACAAATACGAAACCCACAACTTCTCAGATGCCCTTTGCACTAATGAGAACTAACACAGGAGCCTGACGCAGGTCCTAAGTCCTAAGCAGCCTGGCGGTGACATAAGCTGAAGGTTTGGAATGGCTCCACTTCCCCTCAAAGTCACAATCACCCTTCTATGGGCAGAAAGGCTGAGCTGAGCACCAAGAGCCCCCTGCTGCCCACATGAAGGACAGCTCCAGGCTGCTGGCTTCCGCCTGGCCAGCCCTGGCTGTTGGGACCACTTGTGGCGGGGGAGTCAATCAGTGGATGGAAGATCTGTTTCCCAAATATTATAGAAAATGAATAAACTTTTAAAAAATAAATAATGTGTAAAAGGGTTATCTGGTACAGCAATAGTTCTGGAGGGCAGAGAAATTGATGTGACACACGTATGCAGAGTTCAGAACTCAGGGCAACATCAAGGCCATGGGAGAGAGGGAGGGCTTTTCAGATGAGTAATCCCTCATGGGAAGGGGAGGTCGCCAGGTTGGGATGCTAATTCATCAACACCACTGTGGTACTTCTCCCTGGAAGTGTCATTCCTTGTCCCCCTCTTGTTTCGGCTCCTGAGTGTCAGAGGTCAGTGGCAGCACACAGCCCACTACCCACTCACCTCCTTGGTCTCCCACACCTGTTTAGGCAGTGGCTTTGGAACATTTAACAGATTCTCTTCTTTCAATGGGCTGGGAAAAGACGCAACTACAAGACAGAGGAGCGGAAAACAGCACATTGATTACATTAGAAGGCAGCCGTGTTACCTTTCGCTAAATCTTCTTTGTAAACAAATGACTTACTGAAGAAATACTTATGGTCTGTCTAATGGGGAAGGTGCTTTGAAGTATTAGTGTGGCGGCAGCAGAGACCAGTGACACTCAAGTTCAACCTGAGAAACCGATTGTGGGGCAGGGTGGGACCTGCCTCAAGGAGGGGAGCCCATAAGAGCACCATGGGGCACAGAGCTACTGCCTGGTAGGAGGGAAGCAGCCAGGAAGCTGCTAGGAACAAGGGCAGGGGAAGCAGCCCTGTGGGTACTGGGGGCACCTGAGCAGAGGGCAAGGGCAGGGACTGATGTGGGGAAAGCTGAGGCCAGCTCAGGGACCTCCATGCCAGCTTGGAGGAGAGAGTGAAAGGGGGAGGCCAAGGAGACACAAATAGCTGGGAGAGACCAGCTGTGCTGGGCCTCTGCAACCTGAGGACTTGAGACTGGGCAGCTGAGGCTCCCTGAGTCCCTACTGGCCTTGAAACCCTCTGTGAGACAACCCCTAGGGACTACCTCAGGGCTTTCTGCTCCCACACCCTGAGCCAGCCCAGTGTGCAGACAAAAAGGCTGAACCACAAAGCCAGGGAGGACTTCCAGGCCCTGAGACAAGGATCAGCCCTCAGGAATTAACAAACCTGACCTGACCTGACCTGATGTCAGGAAGGAAGGAAGGGGCTCGTCACCTGTGACGGCTCAAGACCAGGAATGTCACGAGGCCCCGGGGAGCTCCTGAACAGCTTCCTGTCTTAGCCTGCTCACCCAAGGGTGGGGAGCCGAGGGAGATGTCAGTGGGTCTGAGTAGATGGTACAACAGGGGGTGCAAAGCAAGCCTCACAGTATGGTCACTGTTCTGCTGCAGGCAACGGGGATAAAATGAAGCACAGATGGGGCTGGAGTGTGCCTGAACTGGTGCTCTAGGCAGGCACGGACCAGCATGTCCACCACAGCAGCCCAGGCTTTTTCAGTGTGTCACTGGCAGGTCACTTGCTCTTAGTCTTGATCCCCAAGTCACTGTCTTTGCAAGAGCTTCCATGCCCATGACTTACTGATCTTTCCTTCAGATGTCTCCTGGGTGGTAAAGGGAAACAAGCCTTTGTTTCCTAGGTGGCCAGCAAGGGCAGTGCCTGGGACATACTGGCTGACTGCAGGAGGTAAGCATGGGTGCTCATGGCTGCTGGAGGCCAGGGCAGGCCCAGGGGCTGAGCAAAGAAGTGCAGCCCCTCTCCAGGAGTCTTGGCAGGGGCTGTTTTCTTTTTTTCTTTATTACTTATATTTATTTTTGATAATAGTAGGTTAGGGTGATAGAGGTCAAGGGCTACAGGAAGGTGGGTGAGATCACCATTTCCACATTCTTTTTTTTTCCTTCCTGTATCTGGGGGAGGGGGAAGGGGACAAGCACAGAAGCCACAGCCAGCCTCCCAAACACCTCTGCACCCTGAGATGGAGGACAGCTACTAGATACCATCCCAGGGTCCCTGATGTGGGTCATGTTGAGGGCACTGCTCAAGAGGTTTTGACAGTTCAACAGTTCTGAATTACTGCTGATCTTGCCACTCCAAGTATGATGAAATCACTCCAGAATCCACTGGTTGACATAGTCCACACTATAGTCTCCATTTTCTCAGATAATCACTGCTAACACTTAGCTGGGGTAGTTGATCAATTTGTTCTGTCCTCTGTCATGGTATCAGGTCTCCTATGCAGACTCCAATGGACTGCCATATCCTCCATCCATGTGCACCTGGATATGCTGCCCACTGCTCTAAGCCTTAGGAAGCTCAGCTTTGACACATGCACTCCTTGGTCAGACCATGGAATTTGTAATTTTCTTCATGGACTGGGCTCTGAGTCCAGTGATTCAGTTGGGGGGATCCCCAAATAAACTTCATCTGAAGTGATCCCAAACCTGGTTCTTGTGTGCTTGTCAATACAGGATCTGGTACAGTCTGTTGTCCAATCAGCTTATGCACACATAGTCAGTTCTGCCCTGTCTTCTACATAAACCAATGGGTGTTGGAGCCCAGCCCAATCCTGCCCACCACAGACTTGGCCTTCACATAAACCAGTGGGAGCTGAAGCCTAGTCAGAGTGACCTCTAATAACCCCTATGAGTCCTACCCCCTGAACTGGTTCCTGTGCCTGCCAGTATGTACAGCAGACTGCTCCAGTCTGTCCCACATCCCATTCAGCACTCATACATGTCAATGTGCACTGAAGCCTAGTCCAATCCAACCAGCCCCACTATCCAGGCCACATACCTGCTGGCAGATGCCACTCTCTGTCTAGTCATGCCTGCCCCAGTCCTGGTTCTCATGCTCACCAGTGAGAGTGGTAATCCTAGAGGGAGGTGCCTACTGTTTCCTACTGGGCCCATTCCCTCTCTTGGATCCTATACTCTGCAGGTAGTTCTGCAGCTTGGCTTGACAGAATTAGCCCCCAGTGCTAGTATCTGCCAGTTGATGCTGCGGCAAAGACCAACCAACCCACACTCACTCTGGCTTATGCATGCACCAGTAGAAACGGTCAACCCAGCCTGGTTTTCCCCTAATCTAGCTCACATGAGGCCAACAGATGTTGTTGCCCCCATCCCAACTCTCAATGCTCTCCAGTGGGAATGGTAGTCCAGCATGGGAGCCCCACACAGCCCCCTACTAGCTTTGCCCCTTCCCCGCTGGGTCCCACATGTGCTGGTTGGGTGCTGTGGCCCAGTCTGGCATGGCCTGCCTCACCTTGGCAATTTCCAGTGGGTGCTGTAGTCTGGCTGGGACTGACCCATCACTAATTTCAGCTCGTGCTAGTGGGGGTTACAGCTTAGCCCATATAGGGGCTGTTTTCTGACACATTCACAGGTTTTTCCATTGCTTTCTGTATCCAGGTTTTGCAGGGGATTCTTTAAAGAATTCACGGGGTGGGGAGCAGGGAAAGGATAAAACAACCTTGCAGCTATGTCTTCACTTCTGTCCACACGGATCATCTGCTCACTGATGTGTCAACGTCACCTGATTGTTTTCATGGCCTTTCCGTGCGTGGCTCACCCGGAAAAGCAGCCAGTGGGGAGGGTGCCAGGGAACTGTGTCCTGGTACAAGATGCTCCCCATCTGTCCCTTGTCTCAGGACTCTTAGCTCCCTGATGTATGAACAGAAACCTAACTGTTGTTAATTCTCAGACTACGAAAACGAAACTTCAGATTACAGAGGATTCAAGGGGGCTGTGGTTACTGAATGAATGAATGGACTGTGCTTGTCCATGACCTTAAGCATTGTTTGCAGGGTTCTCTAACATTATTTTACTTAGCTCCATGAAGCACAGCCTCTTCTGGGAAATTCAAAATTGCATGTTGCAGCCAATGTGCATTTATTTCCCTGGTGTTGTGCATTTCCAGTTTGGATGGCCAGCTCCCTAAATCTTTGGAACAGACTCGGCTGGTGTTGAGGAGGAAAGACATGAAGGACTCATTCACGTTTGCAAGTGATGAGTGACTTGGGGGATCGCTGGGCCTCTGGGGTCTGACCACACGCATGGACTGGAGCATGGCCATAACTTTCTGGAGTATCTCAGAAAAGTAAACCAGGTGGTTGTCAACATTCTGTGGTGAGCTAGAATTTTGAGTGGCAACGAGCTAGCAATGTTGAGAGAAGGCAGTAAGAATAGCCAGAGAGGCACAAAGCATTCCTACCTTCCCCATGCCCATCATGCTCGCCATCACAGAAACCTGAGGAAGAAAGCACAGGAAACTCTTAGTGCAACACTCCCAGTGGGAACAGAATCCTGCAATCCTCAAAGAGTGTATGTGAAAGTGCTCCATGAAGTTTTTAAACTTCTAAGTTGGAATAAATTCTGGCTGAGTAAATTACTCTTGACTCCTTCATATCTTAGTATGTTGTAGATGGCAAAGAATAGGATTCCCAATTGTTCCAAGCTAAAACTAAAACACTAGGCCAAGAATATAACCATTCTCCTTGGAGCAATCAGATACATCAAGGTGAAGTTCTACCACAGAATGCGGACACGTTTGTGTGCCTCAAGCCCTTACCTAGAGTTCACTCAGTTTCTGGATAAGGTGGATCTATGCTGACCTGATTACTCCATAAAACTTCAGCACAATGCCTCACAACCATCCATTTGACACTGGCTTTTTCAGCTCCTGCATCAGGTGCTAGGTGGGGCCGGGTGATGGCGTGCAGTCAGAAACAGACCGTGGCAGCAAATCCTGTGACACCAGTGGCAGCACCTGGGTCAGGCCAACACTAGGGACCTCAGGAGCACAGAGAGGTCCCCAAGCTTAACCACGCTCACCAAGACAGAACTTCCCACAGAACCTAATACAGTGACTAGGGATGCATATCAGTGTACATTAAAGACCACTTGGGTAAGCTTTGTCAAAATACAAATTTCTGGGCCATCCATTTGAAGGTTTTGATTTGGAGGGTGGTGCGAGAACTGGCTGCTAAATCTGTATTTTTTAAGCATCATCTCAGGATTCTATTGCAGATGGTGCTAGGTCCTGCCCTTTGAGACTTGGTCGGTGGCAACTTACTCAACCAATGATGAAATACGTCCAGGGGAAGGCCACATGAACAGAAGAACATTAGAAAATGAGAGAGCAGGCCCGGCACGGTGGCGCAAGTGGTTAAGGTCCTCGCCTTACACGCCTGGGATCCCATATGGGCACCAGTTCTAATCCCGGCAGCCTCACTTCCCATCCAGCTCCCTGCCTGTGGCCTGGGAAAGCAGTCGAGGATGGCCCAAAGCCTTGGGACCCTGCACCCACGTGCGAGACCCGCAAGAGGCTCCTGGCTTCGGATCGGCATAGCATCGGCCGTTGTGCTCACTTGGGGAGTGAATCATGGGATGGAAGATCTTCCTCTCTGTCTCTCCTCTCTGTATATCTGCCTTTCCAATAAAAAATCATTAAAAAAAAAATGAGAGAGCAGCAAGGCAACACACTGTCAGATGGAAAGCAGGCAGTGTCTGATTCCATGATGATGCTCTCAAGGACCCTCATATGGGAAAGGGCAGGGACCTTTATCATTTCATCCCCAAAACGTGGTCAACCAATTCAAAATGAAAACCCGAGCTCTATTCTACCTGTGCACCTGGTGGGCTATGGTGAAATATATCTACACCACCTGGGGTTTAACTACCATGGGTTACCAGGGCCAGCATGCCCCTGGTGCTTCAAGTCTTGACTGAGGGGGCTGCTGTGCAAATATACCTCTTAGTGGGAAGGAAGAGGGAAGAAATGTGTGGGGAAGGGCATAAGATGGGAGGATGGGAGAATAGGCTGGGCGGGAGGAGGGGTGCAGGGAGAGGCATGGCAAACCACAAGATGGCTCTCAGGAAGAAGCCCCCTGCAGACAGATCAGGAGAAGAAAACCACCAAGAGGTTTGGACAAGAGTGGTGAAGCAGTGTGCTGACCACAGTGACAGAAAAGAAGTGTGAACTGGAGACACCTGGCAAGTGCTGAAAGCTTAGGAAGAGCTCGGCTGCTGAATGGGTGGCGAAGGCAGGGGAATGGAGCTCGTTAGGCACATTGTGTGGGTTTTACCCACAGGTGACTAGAAGGATACTGATGGTGATGATGAGCACCTTAAAAAACATGTAAGGGCCTAGTGCAATGGTTCAATTGGCTAATCCTCCTCTTGAAAGTACCAGGATCCCATATGGCATAGATCAGTGTCCTGACTATTCCACTTCCCATCCAGCTCCCTGGTTGTTACTTGAGAAAGCAGTGGAGGACGGCTCAAAGCCTTGGGAGCCCGTACCCATGTGGAAGAAACAGAAGAAGCTCCTGGCTCGTTCAGATTGGGTCAGTTCTGGCTGTTGAGGACACTGGGAAATGAACCAGTAGATGGAAGATCTTTTCCTCTTTCTCTGTTAACCTTGTTAATCTGCCTTTCCAATTAAAAACAAATAAATCTTAAGAAAAAAAAAGCCAACAGTAATGAAAAATAACAAGCTACCAGCACAAATAAAGTGTTACAAATAAAGGCCCGAGCTATGGCTGGATATAGGAGGCAGAGGAAATAATTGCACCAGTCCCTCAGGGTGCAGGACAAGGATGGCCACAGTTGCATCTTAGTTCCAGGAAGCCTGTGACCTGAGCCATGGCCAACTGACCTCCCGGACCATGTGGGGCTCAGGCCTCACTGCTTCTGGCATTCCCAGGCCCAGTGGTCCAGAATAACTTTCTCTCCCACCCCCGCATTCCGACGTGTAGAGCAGCTGGGAGGAGAGGGGGCAGTGCCTGGTCCAGGAGGCATCTGCAGCAGGACCCCCTCCACCTCCTAGGTGAGTTTCCTTTCACTTCCTGGTAGCCCTGGAAGGTGATCAAGTGTCAGGGTGGACTTTCATGTTTCAGGCTACCGCATTTGGAGCCCTTTCATTAACTCTGCAGCTCAGAACATATTGTGGGTTTAAAGGTCACTGGGACCGAAAGCATCTGCCCAACATCCCCTCAAAAAGATGGTGACATACAGCATCTCCCCTGGGCATGCAGATGACCCCTCTCACACTTGCTATGCCCTCAGCTCCTCAGCTCTGGACCACTCCCTGAGGAGCAATGACTTGATGGGGTAGGAGGTAGGGATTGGGTGGGGACTGCCCTGAGCTTGCCTGTCTGCCTATTTTATGTGCACACAGTGGCACAGCCAAGGGTCAGGGCCATCAGTGTCACTCTTTATAGATTCTGAATAATTAGATGAGAATGAAGAAACTATAAAATATAATCTCGCTTGGTTGCGTCAAAGTTTATATCTGTCATTTACAACTGCTTATCACTTATGCCCAACTGTCAGGCAGCCTGTAACCATGGTGAAAGTGAGTGGTCAGGGCTCGGACTACTGGCTTTGGGGACATAGCTCACGAATGCAGCAGTTTGTTGCTCGCACAGTTAAGCTGTGAGCAGGTGCTCACATATCCCCTTTGTGACAACAATAGCAACAGACGCGTGCGGGTTCCAGGGCTGGGTCTCTCTGCTCAGGGAGATTCCCAGGGAAGGGAGTGGCTCGGCCCCTTGCAGGGCTACACTTGCATGCTCCTGGTCCTAGCCCTGATCTTGACTTTATTTGGTTGGACCCTATTACAAGAAATACCTTTTTCATAAAGCTAGTGGATATTTTTAAAACTCGGAAGGAAAGAAAATGAAAAACTTTTAATGAATTACAGAAGGAAAATACGTGGGACTATTTTAGATAGCTCCCACCAACAAATATAATTCTCCAGAAATAATTCCCATCCTTGGAGACTGGACTAAGATTTTAAACATACTGGCTTGCCCGTGTAAACACGCCCATATTTGGATGTGTTTCTGAGTTCTGCTGCACTCACAGGGCAAGGGTGGGTGTGGGCGCGCCAGCAGGCAGCCATGCTGGAGGTCTGCCCCTCTCACAGCCTGCAGACCTGAGAAACTGGAGTGCTCCATAGCCCACCTGAGCACACTGCTGCAGGGCTGCCCTTCTCCCTGCTGTCCTCTTGCTTTGTCCACTCCTGTGCCAATCCAACCCACCCTCGCTTACCCCTTCCCCTCACAGGTACAAATGCTTCAGGCCCAGTCATCATTCTCTCTACTTTCTTCTCTGCATGCAAGACATGAAAACTCTTTCCTTGGATTGCCTACAGCTCTTTCATTCCCTCTGGATCTTTGGCCCTTCACAGAGAAGCATACACTTTGTGCAGAGGACACACGGAGGCTTGGCAGGGGCAGAAAGGCAAGTGCTACAGGACAAAGATCTCTCCATCTTGTCATTGCCAGGTCTGAGGCTCAGGCCTGGCTGCACGCACAGGCCCTGTGCAGATGGTTTCCACTGCTGTCTTAAGGCTGTTTACCTATCTCAGTCTCCACCTCTCTGGAAGCTGAGCTCCTCAGCTTCTCACGTGGCCCAATTCTCCAAACAGGGAGCAGCGCTGGACCCGTGTCCAATCTAATGTCCCTACCAACTTCATCTTTGCGTTCCTGGTGTGGAAACACAGGTGGATGACCCTAACCAGTTGCCAGAGTTCTCCCCCTTGAGAGGCAAACACTTCTTTGGGCAAATGGAGTCTTTTCTAATTGGAGAAGAAATTTAGCAACAATTATTCAATCCTATTCCTACCATATACAAGGAACTAAGAACAGGAACGTTCTCCTTGGAACAGTATTGAAGGGCAGGCACGGAGCAGGTCTGAGTGAGGAAGCCTCAGATGTTAGTGCTCAGAGAATGGTCTCATGGCATGGGAACAAGTGACCTCTTCTCACTTTTCCACCAGGGCATCCTACTGTGCAGGCACTGTTCTGGGAGCTCTGGGAAGCCAGGAGGATGTAGGGTACTGGGGTGTTGGGTGCAAGGCAGGAAGGCCGAGGACTACTCCTCAGAGAAGGGCATGCAGCTGAAGCTTCCAGATAGACAGGTGATGACTAGGGGGAACAGGCATACAGAAGAGAGGGCGAGGAAGCACTGGATCCCCCAGGAGGTGTCATGGCTGACCTGCTGTGTGAGGCTGGGGGTGGGCAATTGGGAAAAGGTGGGCAGATCTGGGTACTGGCCCTGCCTAAGCTGAGGAGTAGCACCGAGAGTTCTAAGCATATGGCAGGCTCACATGGGCCTCTCCACTCCATTACGCTGGAGATCTGACCGGCAACATGAGGTCTAGCTGGGCAGGCCCGTCCGGCCCTGACGGGGCTCCTCCTTGGGGAGTACGCCTTCTCCTCTGCTCCCGGGGACAGGGGACACTTGGGCAAGTGCTGCTGACCACTGGGGCATGGTGTGCATGTGTGTGTCTCATTCTGGGGTTCAGCTGTCACAGCCCCAGGACTCGTGGAGAGAAGCCACTTCCTCCTCCTAGGGCTGATCAGTGAACCAGCTGCTAATTAGCTCCATCAGTTACTTCTGGTCTTACTTATTTAGGTCCTGGGTGGGAAAAGAGGTCCCCGGGGAACTTGGCACAAAACCAGACCTGACAGCTGATGGGAGACCAGTTGGGAAATCACGGTCACTGTCCATGGCAAAGACGGCGCACTGGGAAAAGGGAAGGAGATACTAGAGCCAAGAGCTGCCCGGGAATGGTGGGGATGCAAACCCACACCTGCCATGCTTCTGCTTGGGGCGCCAGGTGCAGCACAGGTACACCCGGGGAAACAACTCCCCCAGCTCCTTCAGGGCCCAAGGGCAAGCACAGCACTGCGAGCAGGGGCCTGCAGGTCTTACCCATGCACGGGGCAGGCCAGGCTGACTGGGCCCCTCCTCCGTAGGGGTCCTGGGGCTTGGTGCTCAGAGCACTTGTGTGAAGAGCAGAGTCAGAATTGGTCCTAAGGAGGGGAGGAGAGAGTCGTGCTGAAAATTATTATTTTTTTTCCTTGATCAAAGTGCACAGTTCTTGGCTGAACATTACCAACAGGAAAGCCAGGCAGAAAAACACGGCTGACTGCTGCCTACACATTGAGAGGTCGGACCTACCTGGAGCCCCTTACATCGGGGGTAGGGGATCACCCAGGCTGGAAAGCCCTCCATTGGCACACACACAGCAACACATGGAGGCAGAGGATGTAGCAATCCACCACCTCTCACCCCTGCACCTGCACAGGTGGTGGCTGGGACTAGGAGGTCTGGCCTGGCCGGCAGAGCAGTCACCTGGAGCCCAGGTTGCCAAGGCCTCCAGGGAGCTTGCAAAGTTGAGAGGCCTCCCAAAGCAGCACTGAAGTGCACTCTGCCTTTTCCTCTGTGCAGGGGTGCGGGCCCCAGGGCCAGCCCACACCCTGGACTGATGGTACTGCAATACCAGTGGTTCCATGAGTTTTGCAGGAGGTGCAGCTCTGGTCTCTGCAGATGTTTTCCCACTGAACTCGTGTTTCATTAAAAAAAAAACCATGTTATACTGCTTCCATTGTAAAATGGAAACACTTTCAACTTATTCTACTTTTATTTTTAGAAACATGTGATGCCTGTATGTTTTTATGGAGCACAGTGCAGTATATCAACAGATACACACAGCATGGATGGGTCAGCCCTGACAGCCAGCCTTTCCACTGTTAGTCTGCGTGTGGCCTGCGGCACATTAATGGGGCTCATAGTCACCCTGCTGTGCACGTGGCACTGCACCTTGCTGCCTTCGTCAGACCATGTGTGGGGAGTTTCCACTTTTCAACCTCTTTCTACCCTCCTCCCTCAGTTATATATATGTCTATTTTGTAATAGACATATATATATATATATTTGTCTTGGAAAATATAACTGTGACTCCTTCAACAAAGATATCACTTAAGTTCTAGGCAATGAGTTTCTTATTTTCAATTGATTAGTAAGTCTCTTAAAAATCTGTTTAATTTTTCTTATCTTGGTAAATATTAATAGATCATATAAACAAATGCTCTTCAAGGGTTTTAGTGATTTTTGGGGGGAGAGGGCATCTCGAGACAGGAAGTCTGAGAGCAGGCATTTAGCCCTGTAGTTCAGCTGCTGATTAAAATGCTCACATTCCTGTTGGAGGGGTTCTCACACCCAGCCCTGTCAATGCACACCTTGAGAGTCAGTGGTGGTGGCTCAAGTAACTATCTTCCTGCTACCCACGTGGGAGACCTGACATGAGCTCCTGGCCCCCAGCTCCTGCCCCAAGTTATCTCCAGCTATCATGGGCATTTGGGGACGCCCTGGTCAGGCCTCAGTTTATCTCTCTCTCTCTCTTCCTCCATCTAACTCTCAAAAAAATTATTTTTTAAGTCTGGAAACCACTGGTCTAGGGCAAATTCCTCTCCTACACAGCTCCTATTTATACACAGTATGGCTCTCAGAGGCAACTATTTATCTCATCTGAAGATCAAATTGCCATTATCCAAAAACAAAAACAAAAACAAACCATTTCAAATGAGCCTCAGAAGTGTTTCTGTGGTCCTCGGAGAAGGGACGAGGCCAATCAGGGAGTACAGTGCATCTCTGGCTCTGGGAGCCAAGTCCAGCTCCTTCATACACCCAGAGACATTCCAGGGCAGTCCATCAAACATATGGGGCAACTGGGAGAAGGCAAAGAGACTGGACAACTGATCGCTCCAGGAGCCACTGCTCACTTTGTTAAGCATGGTAATAATGGTATTGCAGCTATAGTTTTTAAAAGGTGTCTATCATGATATTTATGGATAAAATAAGAGATATCCAGAGGGCCACAGAATGAAGGTGATGAGGCCAAGAAACTGTGCTGGCACACATGACAGTGCACTGAGGCTGAAGGACAGGCACAAGGTTCAAGACTACTCTCTCCTTTGTGTCTGTTTGGGATTTTGCATTACAAAAAGGATTTTTACTATTTTAAAAATTTTTTTGAAATCCCAGTCCCTTTGCATATTCACTAAGGGACCTTGGATATCATCTCACTTCTTAGGATAGAAAATAATATTCATTTTTGCAGTTTTGTGAACATTGAGAAAGTGACTTGAGGCTGAGAGTCTGGTGCAGTAGTGAGGTGTCATTTGCAACATCTGCATCTCCTGTCCAAGTGCCTGGGTTTAAGCCAGGGCTCTGCTACAACTCCAATCTCCTGCTAATGCTTATCTTGTGAGGCAGCTGGTAAAAGGCTCAAATACTCAGGTCCTTGTCATGCATGTGGAAGACCCAGATGGAGTTTGGGGCTCCTGGCTTCACCCTGGCTTCACTCCATGGTGGACCTGATGGTTGTGGTGGTGGTGGTTTTTTAGCATCATCTGGCAAGCAAATACTATGTAGAGAACAGCAAGACAATCGAGTTACCTGGTCTCTTCCTTCCAACTTAACTTGGACTGGGAAATAGCCCATTTACCTGTTCAGCGCAGCTGTCAGCCTGAAGCCTGGATGCTTTTCTTCTTTCCAAGGAGGCTGCTGCCTTTAAAAACCAGGGCAACATCAAAAAGAAAAGTTGTTTAATCCTCAGGGAGAAAAGGAGAACCCCGGGTCTGGGTTGATGAGCGCTGACCTTCCAGTCACTTGCTATATACGCTGACAGACACCCACAAAAACCCCCTGCCTCACCCAACTTGCTCATCATTGTTCAAACGAGGTCAGACAGAATGAACTCCCTGGTTTCTATGTCTCTGATTTCCAGATAAAAACTACTGCAAACTCACAAAGCAGGGTTCGTGCTAGGCACAGGACTTAAAACAGGCCAGCAGGACCTCTGCATGCCTTTTGCATCGCTGGATGTCTGACTCCTCTCCAGGGCACGGCAGCCTCTGCAGATGCGCACTTATAGTGAGTAAATTTGAGTGTGAGTGTGTATGTGTAGGTGTAGGTGGTGTGCTGGGAACCCCACACGCACAACACTCTTGTGTTGGTTATGGACAGCCACTGAAGAGGAATATGACAGTTACAGGTATCCAGGTAACAAAAATGGTAGTTCAGGAGCTTGCAATGTGGTGCAACAAGTTAAACCACTGCCTGTGATGCTGCCAGCATCCCAGATGAGCACCAGTTTGGATCCTGACTTCCTACTCCACTTCCGACTCAGCTCCCTGAAAAGAAATGGAAGATGGCTCAAATGCTTGAGCCCCTGCCACCCAAGTGAGAGATCCAGAGCTCCTGCCTTGAGCCTGGCCCAGCCCTCACTGTTGCGGCCATTTGGGGAGTGAATCAGCAAACACTGGATCTGTCCTTCCTGCTTTGTAACTTTGCCTTTCAGATAAATAAATGTTCAAAACCAAAACATTCATTACACTAATCCTGGAGCTCTGGAAAGTATAAGACATTTGCTCTTGGATACACCTAAGAAAATAATCAGTTTGGAGATGGCTTTAAAACAAAACACTGTATTTGACCTAAAAGCTCGGATTCCAGGAATCTTGAAGGTGGCTGAAGCTGCTCCCAATCTTAAATTCCCTTCCCAGCCCTGTCATCCACAGTAAAGTACCAAGGGAACTGACAGGGGCAGACTTCAACTCCAGGTTCTAAGTGTGTGCTGTCTTCCCAAAGGGAAAGAAACCACCCACACCTTGACCTTGGCCTTGGCAGTCCCTCCAATCAATTTCGCATGGGCCACTCTCTCTCTTGTGTTTAGAAGGACTCAGAGGCCCTTGACAGAATATGACAAGATCCCAGAAGAAAACTCATTGCATTGATTTGTCCATGTCTCCCATGGAGGAATATCAGACCAGGGCATTTGTTGGTAAATGCACTGTGATTCTACTTGGTTTTAGGTATGAAGAGTCCCTTACATAACTTTCATACAAGCCTATGATTACACATGGAAATGTTGGACTTTTTTTTTTCTTTTTTAAGCAAAAACAAGAGCTGTGTTTTATATTAGAATTGTCTGAAACATCTGAGGTAGACCACACAGAGTGAGGTCACCTAGCAATGTCCATGCTCACCACACCTCTGGAAACCCGGCTTACCTTGGCCAGCTCTCGTCCAGGGGCTGCGAAGAGTAATTGGCTCCTGAAGTGCTGCCATCAAAGTGGAATTTCGAATAAAGGAAAAGTAAAAGTCATGGGAGGCTGCAGCAGGATGGGAACTGCTGGAGCTGTGGGGGCTCAACAGCAGTCTTCCTTGCCAACCATCCCCCCATGCCTGATGGTTCTAGCTCTTTTGGCATTCGTGGCACCCCCGACGCAGGCATCCATCAGGCTTCTTTGTGACATGCAACAGAATGATGTTTGATTTGTTTCATCTGCCCAGCATCTTGCTTTTGAGAATACTCTCCACAGCTGGCACACACCTACTGACACTGCCATACCCTGTAGGCCTCCTGGGTCCAGCAAAGGACTTGGGGATTCTCAGGGCGGGCAGCTTGTTCCCCCGGAAATGGTGATTGGCTCAGGTTGGGCTCGTGACACATGAAGGGCCAGGTAGGGGGCCTTGGAAGGAGAAGAGGAACTGCCTCATGGGGAACCTGGGGTTTCCATGGGGAGCATGAGGCCCATCCAGGGGTACAGGCTCAGGACATTCTGTGGCCCTCTTGACCCAGCCCTTGTGCTTGCAGTGACACAACCAGCAACGGGACTTTATCTGGGTCACAGAGGTCCCTGGTCCTTACTGTTGAAGCTGTGGGGAAGTCAGTAGCTCTGCACCTACATGCCCACTGCACAGGAACACACCTGAGATGTGGCACTCTAACAAAGAGACATGCAAGGCCCTCACCCTCCCCAAATACAAGCTACACATGGCTTTGAAAAAAATTATTGTGACAAGAAAAACTCAACCTCCTTTTCTATCACCTTTTTGAAGAACCCTTGTTCACATTGACTGAAGTAGAGCCATTTGTGTTAGCATAACTACCTGGGTAATCCTCAGTGAGGTCCCATCGCGATGTTCTCCTGCTGGAGAGCGCACAGTGACTCTCCTCCTGGACTCTGCAGGCAGTGTGCAGATACTGTGGCTGCCTGGGCTCCACACTACACCCTGTACCTCCCGCCCTCTGTCTCAGACAGGGCCACCTCTCTCCCAGGTGGCACACAGCTGCCTGGTCACCCACCAAGTTCATGCCCACTGGTTTGTCTCCTGTATCACTGATTCTCTTTAGCAGTTACCAATTACACTTCTGATGCCAGACCTCTCTTTCTCAAGATGAATGTCACAAATGAGATAAGAAATATATGTGAAGATGTTGGACATTTGGGAGTGATCTGTGTCAGGCCTATGCCAAGCGGTGAGTTCACATTCGTTCAACCCTAACAATCCCAGAAAGCAGTGATGTGTGGGAACTTCAAAAAGTTTGCAGATGCTTTTTTGCCTTTGGCTTCTGGATCCTTCACTAGCCTCTTGTCATGCTCTCTCTTTACAAGTGACTCTCTGGCCCACCTAGGACAGAGAGAAAGATCTTCCATCCGCTGGTTCACTTCCCAAGTGGCTGCAATGACCTGAGCTGAGCTGATCTTAAGCCAGGAGCCAGGAGCTTCTTCCAGTCTTCCACACTAGTGCAAGATCCCAAGACTTTGGGCCATGTTCCATCACTTTCGGAGGCCACAAGAAGGGAGCTGGGTTGGAAGTGGAACAGCTAGGACACAAACCAGTGCCTATAAGGGATCCTAGCATGTGCAAGGCAAGGATTTAGCCATTGAGCCATCATAGCAGGGCCCTGTTTCTTTATTTCTTAATCTGACCCTGGGACAGGCATTTGACAGAGCAGGTGAGCTGCTTCTTGGGACACCAGTCACCCACTCTTTAGTGCTTGGGTTTGGGTCCTGGTTCCACTTGAGATTCTGTCTTCCTGCTGACGTACTCTGGGAGGCGACAGTAACAGCCCCAAGGACCTGGGTCCCTGCCACCCACATGGGAGACCCAGACTGAATTCCTGGCTGCATGCTTCAGCCTGGCCCAGTTCTGACTGTTGTAGACATTTGGGGGGAGAACCTGCAGATGGATGATCTCTGTCTCTCAGCTAGTCTCTCCCTCCCAAATAAATCAAAAAGAATTTAAATTTAAAAAAAATCTGACCCTGAACCAATATAATAAAGCAGAGCTACTTCCAAGAGAGGGATTTCTCCACCCTTTGTTATCAGGCTAGGTGTTCAGATCGCATAGTCCATGGGAAGGGATGGGGTTGTTGGGGGAGGAAGCAGACCTGAGAGAGCAGAGGCCTTTGTGCTTCATCTGGCAGAGCCATTAGGGAGAAGGCCCCAAGTCTCACCCAGCCTGCGTGCTTCTGCCTCTTTTCTGCAAGCCTGGGTCCAACTCTGTTTGGAAGGGATTCAGTTCATGACATAGCGCTGTCGTCCTTCTCTGGCTCTGATGCTCATAAGGTTGGTCATTAAATCCAATTACACAGCACTGACCATAATGCTGTGCTGTTCCAGAGACATTATGACCATGTGCTTGCTACTTCAATGCTGAAGAATCTTCCACACATCCTAAACGACAGGAAAACGTGGAAAATTCCTAGAACTATTGGTATGATTAGGCTAAGACAACAGAAACTAAAAGATGTGCCCATTGAATTCCTATTAATTTTGTTCTGCCTAATTGAATACATATTTTTTTTTAAAGATTTATTTTTATTATTTTTTCATTGGAAAGGCAGATATACAGAGAGGAGAGACAGAGAGGAAGATCTTCCGTCCGATGATTCACTCCCCAAGTGAGCACAACGGGCCGATACTATGCCGATCCGAAGCCAGGAGCCTCTTCTGGGTCTCCCACGCGGGTGCAGGTTCCCAAAGCTTTGGGCCGTCCTCGACTGCTTTCCCAGGCCACAGGCAGGGAGCTGGAAGGGAAGCGGGGCTGCCGGGATTAGAACCGGCGCCCATATGGGATCCCGGGCGTGCAAGGTGAGGACCTTTAACCACTTGTGCCACCGCGCCGGGCCCATAAATATTTTTTTTTAAGATTTCTTTTACTTGGGCCCGGTGCATTGACTCAGTCGCCAAATCCTTGCCTTACACATGCTGGGATCTCATATAGGTGCAGTTCGTGTCCCAGATGCTCCACTTCCATCCAGCTCCTTGTATTGCACTTGGGAAAACAGTAGAGAATGGTCCAAAGCCTTGGGACCCTGCATCTGTATGGGAGACCCAGAAATTCCTGGCTCCTGGCTTAGGATTTGCTCTGCTTTGGCCATATGGCCACTTGGGGATTGAACCAGTGAACGGAAGATCATTCTCTTTGTATCTCCTCCTTTCTGTAAGTCTGCCTATACAATAAAAATAAATAGAACTTAAAAAAATTTTTGTTTTTCTTATTTGAAAGGTAGAGAGAGAGAGAGAGAAAGATCTTCTAACAGCTGGTTAATCCCCCAAAATGGCCACAAAGGGCACTGCTGAGCCAGGCCAAAGCCAGGAATCTGGAACTCTTTCTGGGTCTCCCAAGTGGGTGCAAACCCTAAGCTCTTAGGCCATCTTCTGCTGCTGCTTTCCCAGGTACAACAGCAGGGAGCTGGATTGAAAGTGGAGCCGTTGAGTCTTGAATCAATGTTCATATAGCAGCAGCTTAACCTGGGACCAGCCCTATAATGTGATGGATATTTAAAAAACTGGAGAGCTGAGGCACTAAACCACACAGGTTTCTTTGAATACTTCAGAAAACTTCATTTGGGAGATTTTAATTATTTGCCAACTTTGATATGCCTGAAAGAACAACCTTAATACAGAAAATAGGTGTGTTTGCAAACTTGCATCTCTGGAGGGTCTGCTGGTTGCCAGCTGTGAACCTGTGACGAGAGCCAGCTTTGGGTTCCACAAGTCACAGCAGCTCTTCCCAGGTCACCTCCCCATCTAAGTAAACCAGGTAAGTCTCTGGCTCACAGTATTTCCCCCTTAGAAAGGAGAGGTAATGAAAAGATAAGCAAGAGGGGAAGTGGTTACAATGATAACAGGAACTAAGCTTTGAAAACATCTCCATGGGGTGAACATTGTGGCTTAGTAGGTGAGGCCACAACGTGGGATGCCCATATATCCCATATGAGAGTGCCTGCTAGCACCCCAGCCCCCCCCTGCTTCCGGTTCAGCTTCCTGCTAATGTGCCTGGGAGATGGCAGATGATGATCACGTACTTGGGCCCCTGCCACCCACGTGCGAGACCCGGATGGGGTTCCTGGTTCCTGGCATCAGCCTCGCCCAGATCCAGCTGTTGCAGGCATTTGGGGAGTGAGTCAGCAGAAGGAAGATTTTTCTCTCTCTGTCCCTCACTTTACCTTTCACCTAAAAGTAAATCCTTAGAAAAAGAAAACACCCCCTACACCCTCATGGACGTTTTTCCCCAGTTGTCCTGTGCTTCTTGCCACTGGTTGCCATTGTCTTCCATCTTGGTGTCCTCTGGGGCCACACCTGTGGGCACTGCTTACCCAGGGAGGGGATGGCAAGAGGGGACTCAGGATCACTGAGTGTGGGGAGGTAGGGAGCGCAGGCTTCAGGAAGCACAGCCCAGGGGAATCTGGCCCCTGCTTGTCTCCGGTGGACAGTGCTGTATTCCCTGTTACAATGGTCAACCCCATTCTTGCACGGGTTCCAGCAATCACACATAGCCCAGACCTTTCCGAATCCACACTTTCAGCTCCCAGTTGGGAGCTTTGAGTCCACATTTCTAATTGTTCCACATTTCCAATTGTCTACTAGGTTCTCCACCAAAAAGAACCCAGGACACTTCATATCTCATCCCCATATCCAATTTGGTGGCCCCTCAGCCCCTCCATGCGGGGGTGTGAGTGAGTCAGAGCCATCTTAGCCTGTCCCTCTATACTCTGGCCCCTGCCTCAGCAAACAATCTGGGACTCCTCCCCTCTCCGCATGGGTGTGTCAGAGGGACCGGCTCTGAGTCACTCTTCCCCAGAGGAAGGGGGGCAGCTCTTCTTTCCGCTGATAAGAGAGGCCATCTGCTGGCCCCTTTACCAGGGGGAGGGGCTACAGAGCCACTGAAGTGCAAAACAAGTCCTACCCTGGCCTTCCAGGTGCCACCTGGCCCGCCAGGGTAAGTGGGGCTGGGTTCTATTCCGGCTTCCTGCTCCAGTGGGGCAAGGGCACCTAG